AGCTAACGACATCGTGAACGCCCTGCTGAAAAGCGCGAATGCCTCGTCGCTCGGGTCTCAGCGAGCGGTCTTCAGCTACATCTGTAAATCGAACATATTTCCATACTAGTGGAAGGAGGCAAAAGCAGCTATATTCTTAAAGCTGGCAAGGATTGCATCGGTGCCCGCCACTACGGACCCATTTCGCTGGCATGATGCGTGTGCAAGGTATTTGACGAGATAATAAGTGCGCGACTAATGTCGTTTTTAGAGCCGAACAACACGCTGTCTAACACACAGCGTGGTTTAAGGAGAAACCGGAACACTCTTGAACATTTTGTTGACTTGTACATAGCCACCAGGGAGTCCTTTAAACGCCGACATCATGTCATAGCTGTCTTTTTACACCAACAAAACATTTGACACTACCTGGAATCCTGATGAAGCTGTACGCGTGTGGTGTGCGAAGCCAGGTGGGTTAGTTTTTGTTGAAATTGTCTCGGCATGGTCAACGGAGCCCCTCACGGATGAATTCTGAGTTTGTGCCTGTTCGCATTTGTGGCGGACGTTATAGGTGACGAATTCTTTTGCTTACTTCGGTCGTCATTATTGGTGCATAATTTCCCACTCCGGATTTGAACCATCAGAGAAGAGACAGTAGCTCTGTTCGCACAGCACACCTTCCTCCCGTCAGTAGGGTAAAGTGGGGTTATTTGGGCACGCTGATAAGTTGATCTATCCCCCACATCTCCCCTCCCAAGACTCCGCTGTTTCCGGCTGGCTGCCTGGTGGCACATTTGGGAAGATAGATATTTCCTGTTTTGATGCGAGCGGCGGCAGTCGGGCAATGCGTGCGTGGTGAGCATTAATCCGATTTTATGGAATTTGTGTATTTTTTCCGAAATGTGTAATTTTTCTCTCATCATTTACATGGAAGATATCGTTCGTTTATTGACTTCCGTAAATTTGGTCATGTCTGCTCCTAAGATCGTCATATATTTCGCGCGACTGAGCTTGAAAACCAATATCATCAACCACGCTCCCTTCTTTATCACGTCGTAGTGGGGCAGCTTGTTCCAACACGAATGTGGGCATGTTGGTCATGGCTCAACTTAACCCGAAGAAGGGGCGGCACACCAGAGGCTACGTGTCTGGCTCGTGCCAGCGCTTTCAGAAAGCACACGGTGGAAGCATTGTTTGATAACTTGAAGAGAGGGTAAGAAAAACACCCACTTTCGCCGGAGGGCATCTACAACGTTGATGAAACGGACGTAGCCACGATGCAGACACCGAAACAAGGGCTGGAGAAAAAATCGAAGCAGGTGGGCTCCATCGCTTCCGCAGAAAGAGGAGAGTTGTGCACGCTGCTTTGCGCAGCCAACGCCGTAGAATTATGCCCCACCGCTTGTCATCTTTCCTAGAAAGAGCTTCAAGAACCACTTCCTTCGAGGCGCACCTACAGGCACTGCAGGATGTGCAACGAAGACGGATTGGTAGGCGAGGAAATATTCATCAAATACCTCGCCCACTTTCAAAGATTCACCCGGTATTCGGCAGAGCAAAAGATCCTTACCATTCTAGACAATCATGCCAATCATATCTCACTTCAGACTAGTGAGTTCGCTCGCGCCAACAGAGTCATGCTTCTTACGTTTCCGCCGCTCACTTTTCACTGCCTTCAGCCTGTGGAAGCGGTTTTCGGTCCGCTAAAGACCCACTACAGCAGGGCAATGACGAGCTGAATGCAGCCAGCAGGGCGAGACGGTGACAATCTATGACGTCCCACAAATCATGGATATTGTGTACACCAACGACTCCACCGGGTCTAGCATTCAGTCTGCATTTACAGTAACTGGGATCTTCCTTGTCAGCAGAGAAGTCTTTCCATAGCACGCATTCTCCCCGGCAGATGTCACTGGCTGGCCGCTACAGGATACCTCCGGCGCCAAATCAAGTGGCACCCTGCAGGGAGTGGGCGCCACAGGCGCTGGACGAGGTAGCGCCCCGCATGGAGCTGAGACCTCCGGTGCGGGACCAGGTGGCGCCCTGCAGGGAGCGGGCATCTCTGGTGCGGGACCAGGTGGCGCCCTGCAGGGAGCGGGCATCTCCGGTGCGGGACCAGGTGGCGCCCTGCAGGGAGCGGCGCATCTGGCGCTGGACCAGGTAGCACCCTGCAGGGAGCGGGTGCCCCCGGCGTGGGACCATCCTTTTACGGACTGGGTTGGGATCCGATGGAACCGTGATGGACGCAACAGTCCCCTACGCTGCGATGGAAGACATGTTACCCATGCCAAGAGCTCCACCGCGAACGAGTCGGACAGGCAGTCGTAAGCGAGGGAGAGTGATGGTAATGACATCGACTTCTAAAACAAGCGACTCCAGCAAGAACAGCAGAAAGAGGAGAACGAGCCGGGTAGCAAAACCACAAGGCGGAAAAGCGAACCGGAATTCATCGAAGAAGAGAATTCCGTGTTCCGACGATCATAGCGATCAAAATGGAGAAGCCCTATCACATTTTATTATGTAACAGCCAGGAACACCTATGCATTCTTACAGATGGCAAATACTGCCTAATTCGCATTACTACGTGGAACATATTACCTCACCCACGGGACAATATGCGCAGCCGGACGTCGCCCTGCCAATTAGAAATGATGTTTATTATACGGAAAGTTACATATATCACTGCTACACTTATATGTAAACAGAAGATCAGCGTCTCATCATGTATAGTCAAAAGCTCAAAATTTTCATTCATCTTATCAGCTTATCAAAATGTAAAAAGTGCTCATGTTACACTGTTTTACCCTAAGCTGCGAGCAGGCGTACAGTGCTCTGAGAGAAGCCCAGGGGAAGCCTTAGGCCGCATTTTCCACTAAAAATGAGCAATTTTCAGAGAAGCCGCCCTGAGCAACCATTTTGCCCTCGTTGGCAGTAGCCTTTGAGTGGGCAAAGTGCTGACCCTGTCCATCAGCTACAAAGTAGTGTCTGGTCAATTTTTCGGTTTGCTGACTAAACGATCTCACGACGTCCTCCTTTATTCCGACGAGTTCCAGCAGCGCACAGCGATCTGTGCTCACCCCCGGTCTATGATCAGTCTCACCATAAGTCCATTACTCCACCCTCACTAGGACAGCCCTTGCGACCTCCCGTCATGCAGTCACGGTTTTCCGCGGCACACACAGCGTAATGAAGGAGGTCACGATATTTCAAATCAGGGAGGTCGACAGCGGATACAAGCAGGTTTTGATTTTGATATGTGCACACGTGTGCCGAATGCTTACTGCTGCTGCCTGCCAAGACGCAGTGCTTCGTTTAAAGTGTAGCAAATGCCGAGAAGCGGACAAAAGGGCTTTTTATTTCCGCTTGTGAACATCATACACTTCACGCAAGTTCCCAAGACAAGTCTTTTTTGCTTTCTACTGTTGCTTCCATCGAGCTGTCGGACTGCGGTACAGTCGTCCTTGCCCGCACACATCCGGCTGACCAGGTCCGACTCGTAAAACAGCTTTACCTCCTTCTTGTCCCCGTCAGGAATACTCAGAACTTTATCCGCTTTAGGGATCTCTGGCGAGAGACTATGTGGCTTTCGTAGCTGGCGGCCCCTCCTGACCATGCGCACAGGACCACCTTTTGTTTGGGCCCGGTCAGGTAACATGACAGCCGTTTGCCGTTAAACCTTTTTGCTGTTCGCGGCTTGAGAAGTGGGCTGGAAAAAATACTCATTGATGATTTTTTTGTGGCTGGGATAATGGTAGCGTGTGCTCTCCTTTCAATAGATCAAAAGCTACCTCATGTGCAATATATTTGATCCTTCACAGCAGCGTCGCTAAGCTGTCTTGCCTGACCTCCACCCCCCCCCCCCCTCCCCCTAGCTCTCAGACACTGTCATCATCACTCGGCCATCACTCGGCCTCTGTGAAGGTGAGAAACGTACAAATTTTGCCTGGAACTGGGAGACCCGCTCCCGACAAAATTATTTCATTACAATTTAGGGATTACAATTTAGGGATCCCGACCCTTTTGTACACTTGAATGACAAAAATAAGGCGAAATGATGCAGTTTCTCACCTAGTTGCATGTTCAGCGACAGTGACCTCACCCAAAATTTAACAGTTGGATTGAGGGCATAAGGTCAACTCCCTGAACAAATTTCATCAAAATATGAAACATTTGGTGTCATGCCTCTCTCGATTTGTCGTGGAATGCCCGAACATCCTTCTCTGTGGCCTTGTGTTTCGACTGTTCCAAACACAAGTGAGCGAAGCCGCTCAGCGAGGCCAGGGCCGGTCCGCACAGCGCCTGACGGAGGCAGAGGATACGGCTGGGAGTAAACAGGCGGCCAAGTTAACGAGCAAGGCCGCTCACAACGTGGCAGTTGATAAGACAAGGTGTGTGTCTGTACCAATTTGCAGCTTTGCCAGCGCGCTGTGGCTGGACGATGGCTCATTCCGTCATTCAAATTAAATGTTTCGGACGCCCAAGTGCAGTTTTAAACTATCAGTGGACAGGAACTCAAATGTAGGTTATTTTCTTGTCTAGCTTTTTTTGAAGTACGCGTCACTTAGGAATAAGCCTCACATCTGTGACAGGAATTTTGCTGATAACACTAATGACGAAAATGGAAGATGCATATTTACTGAGCGTGCACCTCGTTTTGCCAAACTCGACCGTGGTCGCTCATGGCGACCCCGCACAACGAGACAGTTGCGACGGCGGCCGCCTCGTCTCCTGCGGCAGCCGGGGCGGAGACGGCGGGATTAGCGGTGGGGGCCGCCGCGACAACGACCGGGGTGACGCTGGGTATGCGAGCCGCAAGTGGCATGAGGCACGAGGTTGTGGGCGTGTTGAAGTCAGGAAAGCACAAGACGTCCGGCAGCCAGGATCTCGGTCACCTATCTGGTGCCCGCTGCGGGCGGCCGACGAAGTGGCTCCCAGTGACGTCAGCGGTAGCTCGCGCAGAGTACACAACCCACCAGATGACTTTACACCGGATGTAATGCCTTGCCGGCCTCAAACAAGCACGCGGTGTCTCACGGTGGGGGCGTGATTGTTGTATCTTGAAGGTAAGGTGATATAATCCGACAGTGTTTGCGGATATTTGTCTTTATTGGGTGCATTATGGGAGGCTCCTGTGCATTGCGTGCACTAAAGGTGTTGTAGAAGGAGATCTGGTTGTAAATGTGCGCCCAAGCTTGTATTTTTTCCCATTGTCATGTATCTTTTTTGGATTTGCTTATTGGCGCGTCCGGCCGAGTAAAAACTATTTAACGAATAATTATCTCTCCGATAATCGTCTGCGGGAGCCTCCATTCATACTCAGTCGGTCCAAATATTATCTCCCAGGTTAGGTTAGGTCTCCCTCCCTTGCGCCATCCGCAGCCAACGGTGATAGCTATGCATAGCGACAGCAGGTTCTCCGTCTTGTCCATGCTCTGAAGATTCTCCGGGATTCTCCCTCACTACCGTAGATTATCTGGTATAATTTTTGGTGTCAACGGCGCCGAAGGCCATTCCGGAATTTGTTTATTATTGTAAAATCCCGGATAATTTCCTGAACTCATCTGTCGGCCGAATGCGCCCTGCACATTCATTTTTTTATTATCGATCGTCGCGATCATCGTGTGTGGGTTTAATAAGTCATCTTATCTGCATAAGATGCATATGAGTTTTATCCCGATAGGTGTATATGAGAGTCAGTTATCACCTTATCATGAAAGCCCAATGTGTTATAACATGACACAGATAAATGAATGTGTACAAGCATTGATATCACCGGCGTAGGCCTGGCTCTTCCAAAAACGAGCTGATTCAACAAGTGTACACCACAAACCACACAATAACGGTGTCAATGGAAGCATCAGACATTTGTGAATGCCTCCAGCACATCTGTTCAGCTCTATGTGCCATATGATTGCAATAAATTGTGATTTCCACGCATTTGCCGTTGCGACCTTCTTAATTCGCACCGACCAACCCATAAATTTGCGGTGCGCTGGCACCCAATCATGCGAAGATGGTAAAGGTCACCAACGCGTCCAGCTGATCGTACGATGACGTCACGTAGCGACAAACAGCCATCCTGGAAATGGCTCACGCGCGCGGAAGACCGGCAAGCCCATTATGCCATATGGGCGTTTCTCGTCACACGTGCGGCCCCTAGCAGACAGACGGTGACAGACAAAATAGTGCAGACAGGCACACGGAGACCGAAAAGAACCGGTCAGAAGAGAACGGGGCTGCACAGAACTAGACGGAACCGGACCAGACCGGACGAAACTAGTGGAACGTCATGAAACGAGACGAAAACGGACGAAACCCCTCTGCAGGGCAGGCCGGGCAGGACCAGAGCAGACGAACCGGGTGGAACCGTACAAGATCTGATGGCTTCAGATGGGACGGACGTAAGCGGTCCGGGCCGAATGGGATCAGACGGCACGGGTTTGACCGGACGAAACTGAACAGAACGAGATTGGATCGGCGGGACCGGACGGAACCAGGAGGGACCGTACCGAACCGGACAGGATCGGACGGGTCTAAACGTTATCGAAAGAAACCGTTGGAACAGAATATGACTACATGGAACCGGGCGAAACGTCATGAGGCAAAATGGAACCAGACCAAATGAGACGTAACCGGGTGGGACCAGATGGGACGGGAACGGGTAAAACAGAATGGCATCTTATGGGACCAGATGGGACCGGACGGGACCGGATGGGACCGGATGAGGCCGGACTGGACCCGGACTGAAACAGACGGGAGCAGACGGGCCCTGGCGGAATCGGATGGCACCGGATATGACCGGACAGAAGCGAATAGAAAATAACCGGACCTGCCCGAACCGGACGGAGTCGGACGGAACCAGACGGGGTCAGACGCTGCCAGACTAGGTCAGACTGCGAGACGTGGCTAGACGTGGCCGTGCGGGGTCGGGTGGAATCGGGCGGCATTGGACGTGACCGATTGGAGCCGGACGCCGCAGAATGGAATAAGATCGTCGCGTAGGATGGAATGTTATGAGAGGCGAAACGAGATTGGGTGGAACCATATGGGCCTAGACGGCGCTGGACTGTACCGGATGGAACTGGACGAGACTTGATGGGATGGTATGGAACCGGATAAGACATGGCACCGGGCTAGACTGGATGGAGTACAACGGAGCCACACATGACTTGACGGTATGGGACCGGATCGGGCAGCAACGGAAGTGGTCACTAGGAACGGACGGGTCAGGACGGGACCAGGCGGGACCGGCTCGGACCAGCCGGCACCATATGAGACCAGAAGGGGGCGGGTCGAGACCCGTCCCGGCCCGTTTTTGATTGTTGTGGCCATATGATCCCGTCTGGTCCCGCCCATTTCCGTCTGGTCCTGCCCTGTCCCCTCGGGTCCCGCCCAGCCCCCTCTGGTTCCGCCCAGCCCCGTCTGGTCCCGCCCAGCCCCGTCTGGTCCGGCTTAGTTCCGTCTGCTCCCGCCCAGTTCTGTCTGATCCCGCCCGGTCCCGTCTGGTCCCGCCCAGTCCCGTCTAGTGCCGCCCAGTCCCGCCCAGTCCCCGCCCAGTCCCCGCCCAGTCCCGTCTGGTCCCGCCCAGTCCCGTCTGGTCCCCGCCCAGTCCCGTCTGGTCCCGCCCAGTCCCGTCTGGTCCCCGCCCAGTCCCGTCTGGTCCCGCCCAGTCCCGTCTGGTCCCGCCCAGTCCCGTGTGGTCCCGCCCAGTCCCGTGTGGTCCGCCCAGTCCCGTGTGGTCCCGCCCAGTCCCGTCTGGTCCCGCCCAGTCCCGTCTGGTCCCGCCCAGTCCCGTCTGGTCCCGCCCAGTCCCGTCTGGTCCCGCCCAGTCCCGTCTGGTTCCGCCCAGTCCCGTCTGGTTTGGTCTGGTCCAATTCGGTTCCTTCCAGTCCTGTCAAGCCGTTTCTTGTCCCGTCCAGTCTGGTCCAGTCGCATCCGGTTCCTTCCTGTCCCGTTTCATTACGTCAAATGCCGCACGTATTGCCTATTCCTGTGCAACCTCGTCCGGTCCGGCACGGTCCTTACCAACTTTGCCCGGCCCCGTCTGGACTCATTACGCTCTATCCGGCACCGTCCGGTCCCGTTCGGTCTCGTCCGGTCTCGTCCGGTTCTATCCGTCGCTACTTGACCCCGCCCTGTTCGGTTCGATTGCTCCCAAACCCACTCGGTCACATCATGTCAGTTCGGCCCATTCATAGCCATCGGACCGTCCGGAGCCATCCGATTTCATCTGGTCTCATTTCGTTTCATCCGATTCCATTCGGTCCTGTCCCATCGCGTCCGGTCCCGTCCGGCTCTATTCAGCTCCGTCTGAGCCTATGTGATTCCGTCTCGTGCCGTCCGGTCCCGCGAGCAACTAATATCGGGTTGGCAGTGACATTTCTTTTCATGACGTGACAATCAGCTGAAAATATTTGCGACGGTTGTCGTCGCATAATTCATAGCCCGCCGCACTGTAGGCCTGGAGGCACGCGTTCGGTGCGCAGATAATATCCAAAAAATTATCCGGAGTGTTGGAGAAAACGATTCTGTAATGGTGTTCGGCACTGCCATCGCGAAGAATTACCCCAGATAACTTTCTATACCGAGGGAAAATCCCGGAAAATTCTCTGAGCATGAACAGGACGGAGAACTTTTCATCACCATGCGTAGCCATGACTGCTGGCGGCGCATGGCGTATGGGAGGCATTCTGGGGGATAATTGCCAGACCTGTGGAACGTAAAAGGAGAATCATCGCGGATGATTTTTGGAGAGATAATTATTCGTTGAATTATTTTCCCTCGGCCGAACGCGCCATAGGTTTGCGTGTCGGTTTATGCGGACTGACTGGATAATGCGTATGAGGTAAAACGTTTACCGCCACACTATGTATAGAGAGCTAAATGAAAGTGCTTTAAGTATTCAAACATGTCTGGTGCATCTGCTGATACCAACATTTTGCGGGTTTCGTGCTACATTCGATTGATTGAGACCACGTTGGTTAGTGCGCGACCAACGCCTGCGTAACTGAAATACTTATAAATGTATGGTGGATCTACTTTTACCAAGATTGTGTGATTTTCATATTAGATGAGGTAAATGCAGACCATTTAAAGAAATGTGAGGCATATTTTAGGGGCTCCAGCACTTCAAAGATTTGGTGGATGTAAACCTGACTCCACGATCCCATTCTGAAGCTTTGCATTACCGGGAACTTTTTCGGCAAAAGCTTCCTGAAGCGCAACGCTTTGTATGAAACATGCTTGACTTGGCCGCCCTCACTGGCGGCAAGCTGTCCCTGTGAGAGGAAAACACTTCGGTTTCCCCACGATTTCTCAATAAGCTCTGACCTTTCCTCTGCATCTTTAAGAAAATCCTGGTTGCGCCCCAAGTGAGGATTATTGTTGTACTCGGACGGACCACCCAGGACTGCACTAAACGCGACCCAACCCACAAGCATTTTGGGTGGCTGCACAGATGTGGACCTGGGTATGTTATTTGGCAGTCGTACATAGCACTGTTCAGTCAGCACGCTCAATCATCAGGCTTGACTGCTTTTTAAACTGTACCCCTTTGGAATTTCGTCCATTTTGCAGAATATTTCATTTGCGAACTTACAAATGGGCATGAAGGAGCATCCTTGCTCCAACCATTCTTGTCATTTATTGGGAATCATCAAAACGTCCAAAATTGCGGCTCCCATAACCCAGACTCGCCACGTCCAAATTCATAAGGCCCATTGCACATACCATCCGGCGATCAAACCGTCCATAATAATAAGACACGTTCGACACTTAAGTACGAGTTCTAACTCCTGTTGTTAGGAGGAACCGTCCATAATAATAAGAAACGTTCGACACTTACTTAAGTATGAGTTTCAACTCCTGTCGTTAGGAGGCAAAGCAATACCATGTTTTCCTCATAGATAAGACAGTGGTATCAGCCTTATTCCTCGGAAAACCAGGGGAATGGAGATGTAGTTAGGTTGATATTTCGGTAACGTGCCTTCATCGAAACAATAGCAGAAGTGATACAATAGCACAGTGGTGAAACAACGGCACTTCTGGCATTGTTTCGATGAAGGCATGTTGCCGAAATATCAACCTAATTATAACCCTGTTCTTCTGTTTTTTCCGAGGAATAAGACTGATACTACTGTCTCATCTATGTGAATAATGTTCGTCGCTAATGCGCTGAACAACTTAATTTTGAGCCATGTTTTCCACTTTTGCCAATAGATGGCATAGTCACCCGGCGTTCAATTCATGATCACGTGATGGCGACAATAGAACAAGGCAGCACGAATTTCCCATAGTGCCTGGCTGTTGTTGGTCCTACGTCCGGCCCCAACATAGACTCCGTAGCACAAGGGAGCCTATGTCCCACAGGTACTGAATGATTCACAATGCAACATGGCGCCTACCACGTTCTTTTTTCAAGGAATTTTTTTGTAGCCCCTGAAACAGCCCGCCTTTCCTGTCGGGTGAGGGGCAGGCGAAACCATACAGCCTCAGCAGCTGAGTGAGCCGTAAAACCTCACTGACACGCACACGGAACCGGATCCCATGGTCGCTGGCACCACGTGTGATTCTCCGACAAATTAGAAACCTTTCAGCCCATCAACTCCTTCGACAAAATGATTCGCGAAACATCGCCAATGCAATCAAGCAAGCAATTGAGCCCAATACCATAGGGGCTTTATCCACAAGTTCCAACGATAAACAGGTGGTGATTTGGCAAGAGGCTTGCACAAACACCGCACAACCACTGCCGGGTCATCAGAAAGCTCCGAGACCGAGGTCTTGAGTTCTGAATTGTTCAGATTTTCAATATGATTGCTACCGAATGCGTGCTGACTTGACAAAGTGGCCTTGCGTAAACAGAACGTTCGTGGCTAAGCATAGTGATAATCATCGGGCGATACTGTGCACCGGATGACGTCACTCGTCGCAACGCAAAATCGGCTGCGGTATCCGTCTATGGCATAATACCGGAACCAATAGTTCCAAATTGACCAGTAGGTGGCATTGTTCTCCAAATTTTTTTTAGTTGGGCAACGCTGGATGTCATAAACTGGATATTATGCATTGGTTGTTATGAAATTGACGCTTTGAATAGGATGCTGTGAGCTTGAATGTTGTGATTTTTCCTTATTCCGGAGCGTCGGAAGATTTTTGAAGTGAACGCTGCATGCAGCGACAATTGACGCTATGACATCTAAATGTTTCAATATGCATCCTTATTTAACTCATCACACTAGCACACATGTAGGAAAGTATTTGATCCCTTTGTTTTTTGCCCTCTCTTTCCAGGCGGTAGAATCACCAGTGATGGCCCAGAGTACCCCACCAATATTCCTCAATGATGACGCCGTGGCATCACATTTGCGGTGGAAGCCCCTGTTGGAGGCTGTGGGGCAGAGCATGGCAGAATTCTCCAGAAGAGATGGCGCTGTATGCCAACCTGTGCGCATTTCCATCCCATTGGCACAGCATGATGGGTTAGTTGGCCGAACTGTGATGTGGATGCTGCTTTCTTTTGTTTGAACTGCGGAATGTGCCAATGTCTCTTGTTTTGATTCGTTTTGTCCAGAAGTCGACGGAACTGAGAGTTGCTGAGGCGGGCAGAAATGCATGGATTGGGGTCGTAAGCCATATATTTCTGCGCATTGTCATCAGACCCCACCGAAATGGGTTGATAGCACAACCGCTCTACGGCATACTTTCCCTGCTCACCCAGCGGGTTCGCGTGTTCAAGTTAACTGTGAACTGAACTGAGGTGACCTGGACTGAGCTGTGCTCCGAATTCCTATCGGGCTAATTTGTATCAACCCGGCACCAAACGAGCGATGGCTGTATGACCTCGTGCCGATTTATTTACCTTTTTTGTCTGGAGGAGCCAAATTTTCTCGGCCCGCCGGGCAAGAGTTCTCATGCCCGGTACTCCGTGAATTTGTCGCCTGTTCTGATATACTCGGTGTTCTCAGAAGCTCGATTGGTAACGTGACGCATTCATAATCGAAAGGTCGTGGGTTTGAAGCCGGGCCGGTCTAAAAATTATACCAGTATTCTAGGAAGTACGCTGAGTTGTTCGATAACAGCCAATACGCGCTGTCGGTGCAAAAATGCAACGCTCAACTCATTGAGAGTTTATTGCGACGAGTCTGGGCACATGTCCATTTAAATGTTAAATATATTAACTAATGTAGCGCTTGCACCACTGCACATTCAGTTACGGGCTGAGAAATGTTAAGTACAAACTACACATTTAACCTGCCCTGAACATGGAGTGTATTTTAGTTTTGTACTGCAATCTATGTAGTGAACTTCGTTCCTCCATCCATTTATTGCCCCGGATTACCATTGCATGCGCACGCCCAACAGGCTTAACTTATAGATTTTGTGTGCATCCATGTGATTGATCTAGGCGCTTAAGGAAGAGCATGATACGAATCGTTTGGGAGAGTGCAATTTTGTCCTTATTTTTTTGTGTCGTCTTTTTGTCGCGTGAATTGAAATGAATGGTAGGTTTCCGTTTAAGCATTAAGGGATGTGCTGTGTGCATCACGAGGGAAATATAAACAGTTATTTTAACCGTTATCTAAATTCACCTGACTTTCTCCTCACCACCGCTTCACAGTTGGTTCGGCTCAATGTCAGCGTACAGCCGGCAAGCTAGCAGCATTGCCACAAAGCTGGTAACGAGCTACCCAAACAACATCAGCTGTCCCAAGATTCAATCAACTGTACTGCTGCACCGTCCGGAGGATGGCAGACTTCTAGCGGTGTGTCGCCTGAAACATGACTATAACGGGTGTCATGTGGGGACATCGGCGTGTTCGTAGCATCCGTAACTCTAACGCCAAAATTTCAGACTTCTGTCTGTGTTAATCGTTCATGTTATCTTTATCTCGCTTGTTTCGGATAATGGCAATGACAACTACGATGGGAAATCTGATGGCACTTCTTGTAGCTACTGCTCACCACATGCCATTGTCGTAAACCAGCCGGAGTCGCTGTGTCGTCGGCATGCCACGGTGCCGTGTGTTGTGCCGTCGGCTGGCTGGCGGCGGGTTTGGCGGGTCGCGGCCGTTCTCGCCGCTGTCACCGCCACTGACTGCTGTGCCGCAGCTGATGTCCGGGGAGCACATTACGGCCTGCCGCACGGCGGCCGCCTCCGTTGTGGCCGCGTGCCGCCTGGCCCCCTCCTGCCAGGTGCTGGCCGTGCTTGGCTCGGGCGTACAGGCGCGTTCGCATGCCCAGGCGTTCGTGGCTGCCGATTGCGGCGTAGAGGAGGTCAGTGGTCTGTGCGGAGCAGGTAGCGTGAACAGACACTGGGGACATGGTACGTAGCGTGCGCGGATAGGGGAACCAGGTGCTGTGTCAGTGGTCATCTTTAGCCGGTTATTGCCGTTGTGGACAGCTAGCGTTCAGATCATTCAAAATGGAAAGGCTTAGAGATTTTGTGCAGGTTGCTTTATGTCGATTATTCTGGATCAAGAAAAGCAGACTAAATACAAGAATCGACCTTATTTAAATAAAAGCATGTTAACGGAAAACCACTGCAAAAGTATAACGAAGATTCGATTTCTGCCACTACCAAAAGTATGTTCAGAATTTTTCCAACCTAATTTGGGAGCTTGGCTCATTGGCACCACTATTGCTCGAAGCCTGGGCAGCTACCACCAGTCTCGCGCGTTGAGAACCATGTTAATAAGTTGAACACTGCGGCATTCTGGACCTCGTCACTGTGGTTACTATTGCAAGGCTAAATCAGTCTTAAGAGATTCGTCTCGTTAAGACTTAATAGTTCTGATGCGATCTCCCTTATAAATGCATTGGTAAAATGGTTGCCGTGCCGTCTGTCAATGTCGTGGGCGTCCATTGTGTGTGTGTGTGTGTGTGTGTGTGTGTGTGTGTGTGTGTGTGTGTGTGTGTGTGTGTGTGTGTGTGTGTGTGTGTGTGTGTGTGTGTGTGTGTGTGTGTGTGTGTGTGTGTGTGTGTGTGTGTGTGCGTGCGTGCGTGCGTGCGTGCGTGCGTGCGTGCGTGCGTGCGTGCGTGCGTGCGTGCGTGCGTGCGTGCGTGCGTGCGTGCGTGCGTGCGTGTGAATAGCTGCGTACTGCCTTATTGGTCAGTGCCCCAATTAGCAGCGTGTTGATCTGTCAGCAACGTGGGTAGTGATGCAAGGCTCCTGGATGAAATTGCATTGTCCATGTCACTTGGAAATATATTTTACTTTAGTTTAAGCATGTTCTGATCGATAGGGTGTTGCACTGCGTATAGCCTGCAATGTACGCTGTAACTACAGTGTATGAGAGTGATTGAACCACGCCTTTGGTTCAAGTTTTGTTTTGATTCAGTGCTGGATCATAGAAAAAGCATTAGGTATTTTCTACTGAGTGAATTCACTTCACTGAGTCACGTATTCGTTGTCTTACTGGTGTGGTCCATGCGAACTTTCACGGTGATTATTGTGGAACTGTCGTCCGTAATATGTTAATATATGGTGTAACTAGATGTAATCATCACTGGTATGGCGATGTCCTAGCTCCAATATCGTTTTGATATATCTAACTATTTTTGTGCTTTGACCATATTGACACTTCATTATCCTTAATTAATCATGCTTACGTTAATGGCATTGTCATTTCCTGTTTGCTCTCCGTATGAAAATAACCGCACTTTAATGATCTTATGCCACGGTATATCGTCTTATCTATCTTTTTACATATCCGTGAGCAGTGTCACTTCTGCTCCCGGCCAGGTACGAATTTCTGCTCGAAACGCTGTAGCGGCCACTCAGCTGACTTCATCTCTGGCCGATGAGTTCCCTGGCGTCCGGTTTGTATACTACGAGTCTGCCCGGCTGTGTGTAGATGGTGCGGACGTCATCAACACCACCACCGCTTCCCCCGATCCCATTCTCATGGACAACTGGGTCGGCAAGGATGGCGTCCATATCAATGGTAATTCTATAAATATCAAGCGCAGGCCGCTTTTAGCGCTTGCCTGCATAATGTCAGGTAACATATATTTGATGCGTTCTTGCATCCCAGCACACTGGGACAGGCAATACCGGTCGGGATGTTTACTTTATATGAAGCTTTATGAGGGATCCCTTTGAGGAAATTGAACTCCTAAACACAGTGATCTGCAATGAACAAAATCATCTGAATTGTCCTGCTGCATGTCTGCACTCCTCAGTACACCGCATGACAGCCAAATTAGTGACTTCGGGTCAGAGGTGGTGGCAAGTTATATTCTTCTCTAACTTCCAGTCATATTATTTTATGACTCACAGTGGTGTGAGACCACCCTCCACTTGCAGAGAATGGGGGGGGGGGGGGGCGTTGACACTCGCCCATATAACTCCGGAGTCAAGCATACACCGGCTACGCTCACTTTAACGACAAAATTTGGAATGGGGGTCATGGAGATGTCATAGGTCAAGGTCAGTCCAACAATTCTGAAGTGTTTTGAACTCCATGCAATCGCGACTGGAAATCAATCCCGCAGTGCGAATTGCACCTGTTGGCTCGCTGCAGTCTGTAGTGTTAAGTTGGACCACATCACAGGCAGCCATCCGCCGTCAGTCATGCTCAGGGTCGTATAAGGCCGTTCAACATTAAGTTCTACGATGCAAGCTTTGGGCGTCAAGGTCAGGACAGCCTTGAAATTCCTTTCACAACGCTTGCGTTGCCGTTCGCTTTGAACAGTTGTGATTGCATATTTCATAAGCGATGGCCTTGGAGGAGCTGATGGATAGTCTATGTAACATTTGAACTGTGAGCTTACATGAATTCAGCGGTAGTCTAAATTGACCTCTCGTGACATTGCGAACACAGCAACGTGTGAGATGACCCTAAATGCTTGTTTTACGCGCAGTAGGAAGCCTTCATATAGCTCATAACATGTACCTTGCCACTCTGAACAACCATGGTTCTACAATTTGTTCCAACATGACTTTCTGTTGCTATCGGTATCATATGTTGGTGTGTAACGTCACATTGTGACTACCATAACGCGCCAAAAGCATTTACACGCGTGCTAGAAAATGTTTCCAGAGGAAATCGATGAAGGTCAAGCAAATTGAAATAATTTGCTTAATTGTGCAACGTGGCTGTCTTTATGATGCTATTTTGATATCGCAAAGGATGGGGTGCGTGCAGAGCCTGACGGGCCTACACCCCGGCTAACCTCTGCGCGCTGTCGGCCCAGTGGTTGGGGGCCGCGTGCCCCACAAGACAGAGCTGGAGCCGGCCCTTCTGCGACGCGCCACTGTCTACACCGACAGCCGGGAGGGGGCCGCCAGTGAGATGGGCCCGATAAATGTCGACATCTATGGGGAAGTTGGCGAAGTTTTAAATGAAACACTTCCCGTGAAGAGCGGCGGCGTTACTGCGTTCCTGTCGTTCGGTAAGAGGTGGCTTCAGAAACCTAGAACGATGTCTAAAATCAGCTTGTTAGCTTGGGAGGAGGTACGTATTTCCACTTGCCGCGAACAGGATAAGTCCACACGTGGCGTGCTGCTAAAGTCAAGGATGAGCCGGGGGTAGCCTCTGACCATTGGCCAGTGCTCACTGACTAGTGACTGACCGAACCTGGACAGGGGCTCGTGTCCATCACGCGCCTGGTCATTACCCGTTACCCGATGTGCGACAATGACAGGTGGTGCGTTGTGTTCCAGGCATGGCCGTGGAGGACGTGGTGGCGGCCCGGTTGGTGTGGGACAGCTACTGCGCTTCCCAGTCACCGTGCTAAGTCAGCACAGTCGTCTGCGAACCTGCACTGTCGCCCCCAACCCGGGGCTGCGCTTGGCGGAGCCGGCACTGCGACGCCGGTGCCCGCAGCACGGCCACCGCGCGGGCCTTAGAGTGGGGCGTAGTCGGATCATTTATCGCGACGTCGACCGTTAGGTGGAGTCTTGTTTGTGCTGGAACTTACCCGATTTTTATAGACATTGGGATGTATGCTACCATAGTGGGGTCTAGTCAACTTATGTATATCATATACTTACAGCGTGATGCGCGCGCCAGGATTCCTGGTATTGGGGTCAGTATTTGTGGCTGATACGGTTCGCCATGACCTGTTCACGTGCCTGTTCACACATCATCGCCGCGTGACGTAGCTGGGTCAGCCCCCGCACGGCAGCCAGCGGAGCCACCGGTCATGTCGGGTTTCTCCTGCGCGCCAGTCCGTCCTGGGACGGCAGCTGCAGACGAGCTGTGGTGCGCTGGATACAGGGCATGAAACACCAGTGGCACGTGTGTAGCTGCCAGCGATGGAGCAGCGCGGCTGATCGTGGCTAGCCGTGTCCAGTTTGGACCATGTCGCTTCGCCAGCAAAGGCGTCAAAGACGCCATTCTCTTTGGTACAAATGCCAGCGCTGTTCTGAGATGTTGCTTGGCGACACAGTGGTGGCCTTTGATGCTGTCGGCGCGCTGTTCGTTGAACTGCATTGGCAGCTCGTGTTTTCGAGCAAGGTAAAGGCACGGGTGCCCACTGCCACGTTATGACAGCTACATGTGTGGGCTTAGGATTGGGGAATTTTGTACAAATCGCGTTTTCGGCGCGGCGGGAAATATATTTACCAATCATCTTGCTTAATTTGCCATGCTACCATGGCATCGCCTGCAGCGCGCGAAGTAATCAAACATGTTTGGGTTGCGTTGAAGGAGTTTTACAAGTTAAATTTGAGGGTTCTGGGAATGCAGGTCACGGACGCTGATTATACGCATCTTGAGCTAAATGAACCCTGTTCGGCGGCTTTCGTTTTGGAAATGAATCTACTGCGGGCGTTGACCCAAAATAGCGCATACTTTGATATACACGTTACGTTGCAGACGAATATTTCGCTAAATGCCCAGACTCTCCGTTGGCGACTCCGACCGGGACCATCCGTCTCCGCCGGTGCTGATTGGCCGAGAGCCGGACAGGCCCCTTTGCCAGGCCGGTCACATCTCGACGGCGTGGAGCGAGCCAACGGCCAGCTTTATTTGTGGTCGCATGTGCCCCGCAGCGAATCTACGAATCCTTAGACACGATGCGGGCGATAGCCAGGTCCGTAGACATCGGGCCGTATGTGTGCTACAATGGCTCTGCCTTCGTGTGAAACAATGGTGAACGGCTGAGCCGCCAATGCGGCTTCCTTGATAGTACGTTGCCAAGGCCACTTACCCCATTGGCGAAGCATCTACTTGAGGCTTCTACCAATGACGTCACAAATACTTACAGCACACGATCGTGACTCCAAGCCGTTGGAGCCGTCGTGATGCTATTAGCTTGGACGTCATAGTCTGCATTTTGTGATCGACACTTGGCAGCGGGGAGCGCGACCCAGGGCAGGAACTACAGGGCCCGGTTCCTCATTGATTTATGACCCAAGCTCCGTCCATGTGGCACCGCGGAGATTTTGATGGTGATAATGATGATCGGATTGGCCCTTACAGCGCTGCAAATCTGTGCTTAAATATGATGCTGTAACTGGAACAGTAAGGATAGAGTCTCTATTTTTCATGTTGCTGTAACCGTTTATCTTCAGAGGAAAGATCAACACGGCGTCCGCCGCCTGGTGTCACTTGCGTTGGCAAGCGCTGTTCGGTTTTACCCGTTTCGGTTTACCCGGAAAGCCGTGACCCAGACCATCGCTGTCCTTGCTCCCGAAATTTTGACTCGCACGTTCAAACCTTTTGATGTAATTTTGCACAAATCGATTCTGCAAAAGAATGAACGTTCTCAGAGAAGCACGAGATGGCCTTGTTCGTGTTTGAATGAACTTGAGTTGACTACTACGGGCATGTCACTGTTCCCGCTTAAGGGCTTAAAGGTCATTCTGTCTCATCGCACGTGGTCCAATAATTGTTACATAGACTCCAGTTCCAGATTTGTTTTGTGTTCTTCAGAGATATTGAGGATCCCCTGAACATAGATTGTAGATCGATATGAGATCCAAAAAATTGCATCGGCCTGGCTGATCCGTATTCGTTTTAACATGTTCAGTGTTAAGTCAGAATTGATCATCGATAAAAGTCATGTAACATGATTTTGAACATGCGCGCTCGCCAACCTCAGCAACAACAGCCTCGATGTCCGGCGTTACAGTCTCCATAGGCCGCGCGGCGTCGGGTCCGAGACTGTGATGTTATATCATGGCCAATGGACAAACGAAAGGGATGACGCATATTGAAAACGATGCTTGATGAGCTTGGTAAATCGGCATGTATGTTTAAGGTGGTACAAAAGTAAGCTAAACGTTTTTTTTTTTAATTTGAAAAAGCGCGGAAGGCATTTCGGGCTCCACCTTGAAAAGTGGGGCCTATGGCCCCCCTCCCCCCCCCCCGTTCCTACACCCATGACACAACCAACAGCAGCCCACTGCCTTGCAGCGCCAACGCATTACCGCGTGGCCAGCGATCGAGCCTTTCTTTCCCAAATGGCCGAAGCTTTAAAACGCTGCGTAGCAAACTGATCATGCTCGTCGCAAGATGCTGTGGCCAGCCACAATTCTTACGAATAGTTATGAGCCTAGTTTATTGGCATGTTATACTGTTGAGTATGTGAAGTGAATCTTGGCTGAAAAAAATCTGAAAAACACTGGTCTGAGGGTCGTTGGAAAAACACTGTGTCGCCGCTGATTCGTAACGTCAGCACTGATATAGTGTAGTTTGTAGCATGTGTCTGCCACCTGCTGAAAACTATCCTGATTAAAGCTACTGTATTTGGCAGGATGTCATGTCATGGCTCAACTTGCTCATATAGTCAAACGTCAACGTTTCGACATTTGCTCTACACATGGTCACGCTGCAAGCGTTAGCGGGTATAGACCAATACTAAGCTTTGAGCTTCGTATAACTGGAATGAACTGTTGTAATATGGTTCGGCCCGTTGATATTTGTTTTCATCTTTGCGGTTCTGCCGCCAATTGGTTCACAAAGGTGGCAGTTTTTGCTACCGACCATATCCGGTAAATCAGAAGTTGTTTACCCCTGCCACCGGCCACCTGTGCACCGGGATACAACGTATTGCGTCTCATCTTCTTTGTTTTGTGCGGTTTATAACATTTTTTAGGCGTATTGCAACAGTTTAAGACAAACTGGACTACAGGTGAAAATTCAAGCTGTTCCAAATTTCGCCTGTGTCAGAAAAGGCACTTTTAATGCCCTGAGCGTTGCGTGCCAAAAACGTAGCGCTCGTATGCTCCCTGATTTACCAGAGGTTCGAAACAAAGACTTCTCAAACACATTGCTTGCCATGCTGTCATGAGAGGAAGTAAACGGCATACGGCTTAAAGGTTGTATAGTATTTAAAACAAGGCCAGCATGATATACAGGCTGCACACCCACCTTTTCCCATTTTTTTCGGTCGTACCCGGACATCACTGTCCGCTGTATTCAACGCACTGCGCAGTGTGCAGACGTCCTGTGCTCGCGGGGCGAGCACGTTCCTGACGAGCGTCGGATGCGGCGTATCGATGCCCCGTGTCTCACGCTAGCCTTTTGGCCGTCCACCTCTCACGGCGGCTTTTCCTCTGCACGAGCGGTCATCTACCGCCGGTGCGCTCCAGGCCCTCCCTGACGCCGAAAGGTAAACCCCCATGTATTTGTTTTTGGTCACAGCGCGGGTTTTATGTCAGTTGGCTCGTCTTCTGCAGCTGAATTCGGTTCGGCATTGGCGGTCGTCATTTGACGCAATGAATTGGTGAGTAGGATAAGCAGATTGACGACGTGGCTGAGGAACAGGTGGATTTAGTTAGCTGTTGGGTTTTATGGGCGCGTTAGCTGCGTTGGCCATTTGAGTAGACGTGCAATCTTATTAGTCATCGAACCCGCTCAAATAGATTTATGAGTTCAAAGGTTGATAACATGAAAGGTGTTTTCACCATACCCTGCGTCCAATATTTCTCTCTTAGTGTAAGCTGGGCTGTGAGAGAGTAAGTGGGCGAGACACAGTATGAAAGACATAATCTGTTGTGAATGCTGGTGATGTCCATGCCATGCGCTAATATACGTACAGTCAATATGTATAAAGCCCTGCTCTTGGCTTTACTCCTCGTTGGCATGGAAAAAGTTAGAAAATAGCAGTGCATTTATGCTTCGGCCGCTGGCCTATTAAAACAAATATGGTGCGCTTCAAGTAACGAGCAGAATTCAAGGTGTTTTGATTGGTGACATCAATAGCAATAGTGACATAGCATTCAACACACCCATCAGCCTATTGCACCATAGATGTTAAGAGAAAGGCCTGGACCGAACTATCAATACATGCACCGTGATTTTATAGCTTTCTGTTACCACCAAGGGAGAACAAAGCCCAGGTAATCACTCTACGCATAAGCAATGTTCCTCGCAGCTTCATAAAACAACTCACGTAGTTATTATTATATTTGACAGGTAACGCAGCCGCTATCACTGTCTGGTTTGTCCAGTTTACTATACCAACGCTACAATACGTTTCAAACAGGGACCCTCCGTATTGTCATACAACTGCATTAGCATATTGAACGACACGTCGATCACTACTCAACGTACGAAATTGCTTGCATAGTCAGGTCATAAAATACAGCCAAGCACAACACGAGTTACTATGAGGCGAAACGCGCGGAGTGCGTTCGGCGCCCACCCCGTCGTCTTCGTGCGGCGGCGGGCCGTGGCTATCCCCCGGTAGAGTGACGGGCCGTGGTTGTCCTGGAGAGCGGCGGGTCGCACTTATGCTCGAGTAGCGCGGTGGGTCTTTGTTATTATTGAGTCTCCCCGAAACCGTCCTCCTGACGTTGCTGCTTGACGTCTTCTTGTCATTACTGAGCCCGCCTCTGAAACCGGCACGAGTTTCAGGCTAAATGACTTCGCGACACACTGAGCCTGTGTCACGGGTCCTATGGAAACGCTTCTGAGGTCCTGAGGGGCACCGAGGTGGCGCCGTTAAATCGAGACCAGCTCTGTGTGGTATGAAATCTAGCGCTCTCTGAACAAAACACGCATAAAGCTCCGTTTTCGTTTCCACTACGCATCCATGCATTGAAAAGCTTTGAAAGACTTTTTGAAACGTTTCTATTTGATTTTAGTGCAAACTTAACACTTGACATGGAAAATATAATTTTCGGTGCAATTTCACTAACATGCAATAGGTAAACGACATGTAACCAAGTAAGAATATATTTGTTATATTGAACGAGACCCTTTGCAGACATTTCTTCAGTACATGTCTTAAGTTTAACCTTCTTGGAAAAAACTAGGCCTGGCAATAAGTATTTGCGTCACTCGAATACGTTAGATGCCAGCTGCTCCATTATTGTTTAGATGAGAGCTGTATGGAGCAAGGCAGGCTTGAGGAACAGTCCATTCGATGCTTAATATTGTCATATCGGTTAAAGGTATGTAAGCCTTGCTAACTCTGTAAGTACTATGAGCAAGCTCTGTAAGTAGCAAGTAATGTAAGCTCTGTCAGCACTGCATGCCTATGAGGGGGACACTACAACGGTAGAGGAGTCTGTGTTGTCGCACCTGCGTCAGAGATGTAACCGAACATTTTTAAAGCGTTTGTAAAATTTTCGGCAGGAAGAAGTCTGGCACCGTGCCTGTCCGCGAAAGCATGGTCTTGCTTATAACCAGTCAGCTGCAATTCTATGAAGTTCTGCGTCTTTACAAACCCGTTTTTAAATCTCTTCGAAGCATTTGTAGCCGAAAATCGTTGATAAAGAGTGTGGGTAGAAAGTCAACGCCAAATAATTTAGTTCATTTCAAGAAGTTTGCTCCGTAATCCTTAATGAAAAC